GGCGATTACGAAGTTAAAAAACGAGTTCAGTGCCGAAAGAGGAAACGCATGTATAATATAATCCCGGTCGGTTATTCAAATTCAGGATAATTTCTTCTCTTTTCGATACTTCGCCCGTTGTTAATTAACGGTGGTAGGACGTTAAGTGAATCATGGTAGGAAACGCGATTTTACCATGGGCAATGTCGGATTCTCAGTTAAAATTAACGATCACGGCCACTGAGCGACGGTCCGTAACGATGCGTGACGACAGTGAATGTGCGGTACAGAATCTGTCCAAGGAAGTAACATTCAATCACAATTCCAGTTAGTTCTGTCCGATTCGAATACCTTTTAACGCATATGCGAGGAAATCGACTGAAAATTGAGAACATTACATCGTGAGATCATCATGGATATAATCTTTGCAATCTTTTCATCGAACGTTCATTCATTTGATTTATCGAATCATATTTAACAACGATTTTTCATACCCCATTAGCTCTGTAAAAATTATTCCAGCCGATATATTTGCCGACCGTAAGTTGGAGTAAGAGAATTCCAATGAATAAAATATTAGTTCTGAGTGAAAACGTCCGAATCTATCGAGGTACCGCACGAAACTTTCAAACTCGAAATAAAATCTACGTGTGGCATAACGACCATTCAATGTGACTATTACTAAAAAATTAACTATAAGACAAAATTAAAAGAATGAGAAGTAAATGAAAGTATTCCCCCATTACAGAAGTTTCAATACCTTATCTCTTTCCACTTTACAATTCTCCATAAAAAAGCTATAGAGTAAACCCTTGACCGTGTAATCTTCATTCACCAAAGATCTATGCAAATCAGTAACCTGTAATTGGTAGCAAGGAGGAACCTATTAATCTCCTAATGGTGTTTCTCCTCGAAATCCTGCTAACTGCACCATCGACGGAATTTCGAGGTAAAGAGCAGGACGAGTCGTGGGCCACCCCCATTCCTTTCAACCAAACCGGATTTAAAACAAATTTCGCCTCTGCGGTGAACGGAAGTGCAAGACTCGATCGATCTTGTTCGATGAATGCGTGGAAGGAAACGCGACGGGCAAAAGCAGATCCGGCGAATTACCATACGTGCATCCGACGTGACGATCTCCAATCACGGGACTATGTGATTACTCCGGAAGGAAAAGTTCTTTTCCTGTTCGTGGTTCCCCGGAAAATTACTCTACCTTGATGATGATTTTTCAAGAAAAATGTTTCGCTGTTCTCGGTCATTTTTTGAACGAAGGATAATTTTATTACAAACGTGGATATTTACTTATAATATTTTTCTGATGGCTGATACTTTAAGGATTGAAATAAAGTGACATTTTAGAAAGATAAAACTTCTGATCTGGAAATCTTATGAAATCTTATAAAGGTACAATTATAGATATTGAGAATTAAGATTTGATACAGTACTGTTCTATGTAGGAAAATTTTCTTTGACGATCTCAACTGTAATTGCATAATGAGATGTTAATAAAAATGATAAACATATTTAATTCTTATTAATACTTATTTTTACAGTACTAGATAAGCCAGAAAATGACTATAAATCGAATAAATGGATGATGTGTAGTTAAATGTAAGTAGAAGTAAATAACCAACAGGTTTTTCGCTGGCTCATTTTTGTCACCGCCGCCAACGTATCGAATCGCAGGATCGATCATAAAACTTTGACCCAGTTAGTCACGTTTTACCATCCGGAACAATGCGTGAAAAAAGCCGGCTCAAACAAGGAACCACCCCCAAGGTTGCACGTCCGCCTACCGGTAATCGCGCATTGTTTCACGCGATACAACGAAACGAAGTCACGGGGGCGAAACGAAATGACGAAACAGTGGCGAACAGTACGTGAGTACGAAATCAAAGCGATCGTGTCCTTTACGAGGGAACAATGGACCTACTCGCGACCTGTTTACGATATCTGCTGCGACTTAACTTCAACCCCTCTGACGCGCATCTAGTTCCTCCGACTGGATTCAGTTTGTAACATCCTTCTTTTTATTAAAAAAATATGTACATTGATAATTCTAATTTTTCTTGGAATTGTAATAAGAAATTTCGTCCTCTAATTCTTAGATACCACAAAAATCATAAAATTGCATACCTGCTAGTATGTTCAAAGAATTTTTATACATACAATCTAATCTAAATAACAATGAAATAACGTTAATAATAATTGACGAGGTAACAAGATAACGTTACGAAACAGGTTTATTTTAAATCACCTCACGATGTTTCAACGATCAACAATTCTTCAGCTCACTAAAGAAATTCTATGTTTCAATAAAGAGAAAGGGGAGTTTCCTCTTGAAAGAGGAAAAATATTTTTTTATTCCTCACAATGCTCCTTTTTCATTTTCCAAGACCGTTTTATCTTCCACGTTCCTGGCGTCGACGACAGATAAAAAAAGGAGAAAGGATTGTAAGAATGTAATTAAGCAAATGGAATCGAAATTTCACGCGTTTCGTTCTAAATTCGCGGCGCATTTCTTCGCCCGCGTCACCTTGCGTCTGTGTATTTCCTGTCTTCAGAAACTCTGTTTCAACGACAATACCGTTCAATCATGTTAGAGACAAGAAGGAAAAGTATATGTATAGATGTATTCATGCTCCCACAGAAGATTTTCGATCCTTCCGCAGAATATGACAATGTCGGAAGCCACGATTGAAATACGCACAAAATCTTGCATCGTTCCCAGCAACAATGGAGAATTGTTGCGAACCATAAAGATAATTTTCATATTTTTTTACTTCATTCCCTTTTATCAATATGTTGCATTCTTTATAATCGTCATCTTCAATCAATGCATCCCATTTCAAAATGATCGATAAACAAAATCGACTATCTTATCTAAAAATAATTTGTAATTCTCACTTTAATAACTGGTTAACAAATTGAAGTATGTCATTATCAGGTTAAGAAAGAAACTATTTCCTTGGACAACATTAATTTACCCAATCATACATTTCCACGCAATGGGCATTCAACATCAATACGCTTCAGGTCAAAACCACATTTCTAAACAATTTCACGGTACAGTGTAAATTTGTGTTCCATGTGAAAATCGCTTTCCGCCTGATACTATGTGACGATATTTGCCATAGCTTCACTAGGATAACATTAATTGTACACATACATAGACACGCACGCACAAGGAAAATGTTAGTTGCACTTCCATGTGTCTACATTTATGAAGAAATTGGGAAGGGGGTTGTGCTGTCAGAATAATGCTTCTTACGTGTATGTAATACCTTGACAGATAATTAATTCGTATAGATGTGCGCGTTTTGGGGCTCGGCTCAAAAAATGTTCATAGAATTAAAAATATAAAACAGTGGCGAACAGTACGTGAGTACGAAATCAAAGCGATCGTGTCCTTTACGAGGGAACAATGGACCTACTCGCGACCTGTTTACGATATCTGCTGCGACTTAACTTCAACCCCTCTGACGCGCATCTAGTTCCTCCGACTGGATTCAGTTTGTAACATCCTTCTTTTTATTAAAAAAATATGTACATTGATAATTCTAATTTTTCTTGGAATTGTAATAAGAAATTTCGTCCTCTAATTCTTAGATACCACAAAAATCATAAAATTGCATACCTGCTAGTATGTTCAAAGAATTTTTATACATACAATCTAATCTAAATAACAATGAACTAACGTTAATAATAATTGACGAGGTAACAAGATAACGTTACGAAACAGGTTTATTTTAAATCACCTCACGATGTTTCAACGATCAACAATTCTTCAGCTCACTAAAGAAATTCTATGTTTCAATAAAGAGAAAGGGGAGTTTCCTCTTGAAAGAGGAAAAATATTTTTTTATTCCTCACAATGCTCCTTTTTCATTTTCCAAGACCGTTTTATCTTCCACGTTCCTGGCGTCGACGACAGATAAAAAAAGGAGAAAGGATTGTAAGAATGTAATTAAGCAAATGGAATCGAAATTTCACGCGTTTCGTTCTAAATTCGCGGCGCATTTCTTCGCCCGCGTCACCTTGCGTCTGTGTATTTCCTGTCTTCAGAAACTCTGTTTCAACGACAATACCGTTCAATCATGTTAGAGACAAGAAGGAAAAGTATATGTATAGATGTATTCATGCTCCCACAGAAGATTTTCGATCCTTCCGCAGAATATGACAATGTCGGAAGCCACGATTGAAATACGCACAAAATCTTGCATCGTTCCCAGCAACAATGGAGAATTGTTGCGAACCATAAAGATAATTTTCATATTTTTTTACTTCATTCCCTTTTATCAATATGTTGCATTCTTTATAATCGTCATCTTCAATCAATGCATCCCATTTCAAAATGATCGATAAACAAAATCGACTATCTTATCTAAAAATAATTTGTAATTCTCACTTTAATAACTGGTTAACAAATTGAAGTATGTCATTATCAGGTTAAGAAAGAAACTATTTCCTTGGACAACATTAATTTACCCAATCATACATTTCCACGCAATGGGCATTCAACATCAATACGCTTCAGGTCAAAACCACATTTCTAAACAATTTCACGGTACAGTGTAAATTTGTGTTCCATGTGAAAATCGCTTTCCGCCTGATACTATGTGACGATATTTGCCATAGCTTCACTAGGATAACATTAATTGTACACATACATAGACACGCACGCACAAGGAAAATGTTAGTTGCACTTCCATGTGTCTACATTTATGAAGAAATTGGGAAGGGGGTTGTGCTGTCAGAATAATGCTTCTTACGTGTATGTAATACCTTGACAGATAATTAATTCGTATAGATGTGCGCGTTTTGGGGCTCGGCTCAAAAAATGTTCATAGAATTAAAAATATAAACAATGTATTCTGAATTAATCCTAAATAAAGATATTCTTATGGTTATATCAATTTCTTACACTTCCTGCGGTTGTTTTTAACTTAATAATTAAACCGTGATAATCAAACAAATGAAATCGAAATTAATTAACAAAAGGGAACTCAAAAACTTACGTTTACACATTCTCTGAGGAGTCCTTATTGAATCACCCTGTACACTCTCATGTCGCGTCCTTCGAATGCTTTCCCGACAAATAAACCTCACTTTATCCCCGTACCTCGTTCCTTTCGACACAAGATTCGCGAGCGCGGACACACTGATATACGAAACTACATCACAATCAGCTTTTCACGACACGAACAGGGACGAGGGACGGGTCTGAAACACGGATTCGATGGTTTCTCGCGCACATCGTATGTATGAATGCGTCTCGGACCGATCTGGAATAATTGCGCGTTAACAGTTCTCGAGCCGAGCCACGAATGTCGTATATAGGGAGACAGAAGGGAGAGAAATCTCGTGGAAGCGGCGACGCGTACACCCACCCAACCAGGTTATTTCTGTGTTTGTTTTCTCACAAAAGTAAACGAAGGATCTAATGCGACACCGTCCTCTATAATCTCGTTTCACTAACCGCGTTTCGTTGGATCGTTTAGAAACAGCCCTGGGACAGATAGCGATACCGTGTTTCCCTAATTCTTGTTAACTCCACGAAGAGCCTCACTGTGCGACCGTTCACATTTATTTAGCGAATTTTTTCAGCTGCCCAATGAAAAACTTATTCTCGATTAATCAAACGCGATAAATATTTTCTCCTAAATAATGTAGGAGGAATCAGTATTCTACAGAATTATAGAAAAGTGCGAAGACTAAGTTATATAGATGATTATTGCAATCCGTTGAAGATTATTTCATATTATTGGTTGTTAATTGCTTATAAGAAACGAAGTTTGTTTAATTAAAGTAAGCAGTTATTCACGTTATTCTGAAAATTTATTTAATATTATGTTAAGGGAATGACAAAAATTAAAAGATCGAAATTCGATTTGTCAAATGAGGAAGAAGCCCGCATTTTAGTTTTCACTTTCTGATTATTTCTCAAGATCGTTGATGCAGCTGTAAACAAGTTCGATCCAGTCAAGAACGAGCCAGTGTCGTTCGTCGGATATTCTCAAGAGAATGATAAAGAGAAACCGACAACAAAAGGATTGATCTCCGTTCCGTGACTACCGTTTATCCCGCGCGACGGTGTGACCGTGGTAGCGGTCTCGTCCGTTCCACGAGAATCCTCCATTTGTAACACTTATTTGAAAGACAGTACGCACGACGAAATATAAAAAGCACCTCTGGGTCGACCCTTAAACCGAGTTAATTGCACCTCTCATTAGCCAAAAGCTAATCTTCGAAACAGGAACTTGCGTACGTGTCAAATGCAAAGTATTCACTATTTATAATAGAAACCAGGTTCCAATGATGAGCCAGGAAAGTCTGTGTAAATTTAAATCTACTCAAATCATTATTGTTAGTTGCGAAATATTCCAATACATTTTTAACGATTTGCGCTCATTCAAAACAGTTATGAACTTGAGAGATTCGTTTATGGAGCCAAGCGATCTCCAAACGGACTGTTATTTAAACGTGAAGCTCGCTCATGATATATTAACGTAATGGGGTTGATTTGTAATTCGTTTATGTAACGTAACCGCCGGTTTAAGGGTAGACGAGGGACGCGGTACAGAGGGGAGATATATAGACAGAAAGAATGTGATCAGCCAGTGTTGAAGGAAATTTACTCACGATTGTGTGGCACGTTTCGGTGGTGCGGCAGAACTGTCGTCGAGGGTGGAAAAGCACGTCGGACCGGCCGCGAAAGAGGCTCGCTCTCCTCTCGGGCGCGCATCGCGCAGCCGTGCTGCCTTCACCCCTCTGCGTTTACGTGTACGTACACACGATAAACGTGGCCGCGGCCAAGGAAGGGAAAGGGGATCGAGTTAGGTGTTGGTGGAACGAAGATCGCCCGGCGGTTTTCTCGGGCCCGATACAACCGCGCAGAAAGGACCGGAGGGATGCTCGAGGGTTTCGGCTTCCAACCACCGTATCCCCGATAGACCTGGCCAAATATACTTCCCCCGTCTCTGGGATATCCGAATTCCCGGAGGAAGGGAATGGCAGCTTCCGGCTTGAACGATTACCAAGATCGAATAAGTGATACATACGTCGAACCAGGTCGGATTTTCTCGTACCCTCTCGAACGTACGGTTGGTGATGGATGGATCCTTTTGTAGGCGACAATAAGCGGATTGTAATGTACGGTTGGAATCTTGTATCGAAGAAGAATTAAATGTATTTCTATGGAATACGTTTTATTATAATAAAGTTTACTACGTTAGTGAGGGGCCGTAATTGTATTATATTTATATTAATTTCAAATAAGCGAATATTTTCGTTCGCATGATAGGTGTTCATTTTAAATAAAGTAATTCTGTGAAACGTGGGATGTTGAACGTTTAATGCTTGTAAAAGTCACATATGTTAAATTTCTGACATTTATGATGAAACTCGTAGGCGCACCGAGCGCAATTGAAATTAAATTATGGTTTGACATTTGTAAGAGTTATACAGAATTGCATTACGAAGACTTGTAGGCAATCGATAAATTGGATGTCCCTAGTTTTAGGTATAATTTATTATCTCTCTCAATTGCATCTAGGAGATAAATAAAAAATATTACTAACAAAAATTATTTGTTTGGAGAAGTAAATTTGATATGGAGCGCATATGCACGTAATTTTCTCGTTAACAATCGTTGGCCGAAATCTCGATTCCACTTCAAACTAATTCTGTTTCACAAACCCTCTTAAAAAGGAAACTCGATTAGTGTAGCCAAACATGAAATTCAACCATTACCAGCAACATGTATCTATAATTAAATCATGTCCAATTTGCTCTCTCTCTCTCTCTCTCTCTCTCTCTCAGCTTGTATAACTTTTCTGAGGATAATAAAAAAATATGTGTAAAATGTTAATTCCTGTATAACATAACTACTATCAATTATCTTAAACCTTTTGAAATTCTACATACGAAAATGATGTACCAGCCTTTTAAAAGTAAATAACATTAATTTTAAATACAACTGGTTCTCGGCAACGCGTTAAGCGAAAGATCACGCACCGTGGAACAATATCCGGACGAAATCCGAGCGGTTGCTTAACTGGAATTTGGTAAATCTATTATATCTCAGACAGCAGGGCGTAATGTACAAGCGAGGCACGTAACAGCTTGCACGACGTGGAGAAATACGCGTGAAAGGAGGAACAATTCTGTAGATTTGTTGCCTCGTCCGCAAAACGTTCAACGAAATCACAGTAAAATTTGTTCGAGCAACCGTGAGAAATCGGAACGGCACGGCGGCGGCGCAGTGGATTCTTCTTACAAGACCTTACCGTTTTTAAAGGCTTCTTACCGAGCTTCAAGGAGTTCGCTCTTGAAAAAAATATGAACAGAAATTCGAGTGACTTTGCGGGAACGGAGAAATCTATCACCGTGTCGATTTTCACTGCAAAGCGAATCTACGCGTTTAGGATATCGCATGTTTCCCGTTACCAGATTTATGGATTTTTACTCGTGCTACTTTTTGACAACGTATCAACATGAAGAGATCAAGGGTTGTAATAAAATTTCTGAAGGAGGAATTGAATTGCAAATTTGAAGACCATTTATAAGAATACGGGAAAGTACATTATAAGTTATAATCTAGCTACTAAATTCTGAGATAAAATAATATCGGAAGGTGACATGCTCGGAAAAAAATATATCTGTGACAGGAACAAGTTGAAGCGTATCGACTCACTTATTTTCTTTATTTCGATAATGGCACGAAGTTATAGGTATCGAGGAAGTTTTACGTTGAATTCGCTGATACGTAAAGGGAGGAAAAATCAATGAACCTGTCAATTATTCAGCGTGGTACAATAAAAAGAAACAACGTAAGACACTACGGATATTCCCTCCCGCTTCTTATGTTAGGTCGAATGACAGTACTAAGTTCTCCCTTTTACGTTTGCCCGCTTCGACTTTATCGGTGAAGCCCGTGGCTCGTGACACAGTGGACGTTTCCAAAATAATCTTACAATCAATATAAATGCCAATTTCGATTCAAAGATAAGTGGAATATATTTGCTAAACCTGTGCCGTAAATAGTTTAGTAAATTAAACAAACTGGAGTTGTGATTCACGACAAAGGCTGCATAGCTCGTAGAATTTAAAAATGATAAGGCAATAAATATTCAAGTGGGGTAACGATATTATACGTTTAGAATGATAAAGACAGCTACTAAATATTCGGCTGCTTTATCACCTATAAATTCGATTCGAAACTTCCTTAATCGCGGAGACTTTCCGTCCCTGTACGTGATGAAAATCCATCACGAAGATAAGCATATAGCCTCCATTCAACTGTTTATAAAGAATGCAAATGCTAAAATTTATCTGAAATTGCTATTCGCGCGCGCGCTTAAAATGTATCTCTGACAATACGATAAAACTTCGTGAATATTGTAATACGTTGAACGCACTTAGCACAGTTTCAAATGCATACAAATTCGCGTGTTCTAACTTCTGCAAACTCGGAACTGTAATTATTGTATCAATTATCACGGGAATAAAAATACAAATGAGACGGCTTAAAGATTTATGAACGCGAATCCGAGTCGACTTTAATTCTATGCAAGTTTAAAGTCCGCGTTAACGCAGGAAGAAAGTATCATAATGACCCGATAAACGTGCTGTTCGATCACCCAATTAAAAAGTTGCATGCCGGTGACTTCGGTACAACGTAAAAAATCTCGTGAATCTTTTATGTGTCTTCGGATGCATCCCATTACAACAGCAGACGTTCCACCTGCTCCCGAAAGAAAGCGAATATCACGGAAGAAACAAGGTTACGTGTTGTCCCCTCAGTGAACAAACGCAAAGGGGAATTCGAGGATGATCGATGGTTCGTCAGAAAGTGAAACGATTCTTCATTTTGGTACCTGCACTGTCACGTCCGCCTCTGGTTTACATTAAACATAGTTAACACACGATGATAGGTGAAATTCTATTTCTCCCTTCAGTGATTAGATAAGAAACACTGGCAGTGGTGATCGAAATTAAAATGAAAATATTTGTTGGTGAACCGATGGAAGAACAGTCATATATGGAATTGTATAATTTATTTTTACTGCAGTATGATAGAATAACAAGTGATTTTAAATCATAAGCTGATAATAGAGAGATAAGTTGGAAGAGGAGAATGAGGAGTAAAGAACGTAAACTGGAGGAACTAATTTCGAACTAATTTAGCACATGTGACGCTGAGATCTTAATCATTGGAAAGGAAATGACGGTAAAAACTAACTGGTAACTGGAGTTAAGTTAGAAAGTAAACACATGTGTTT